AGCTCCTAATTTATTTGTACTGCTACTCGTATGTACCCCATTCCAATCCGGTCGATGTTTAGAGTAGTCGCAACCTAAACTTTGCAAGGTTGCATAATTAAGTAGCAGTTAGTTATATAACTGTTTTTATTTTAAGCATTGGATACATGTTTAAGAATATTATGAGTCTTATCTGAAATAAATAAAAGTTATGGAAGAGCTAATAAACCAGTTTAATCGATGGGGGTACTAGCTTCGGCTTACTCTTAATTATTTCTTGATTTTATGTTTACGTTTATATGCACCAATAATTGCCTATATGGATGCACAAACATATGCATATATATAGCATAGACAATGCATATAGCATGTATTAACTTAATACATGCTATATGCTTGCAATGTTGAGTTCGATTTCGTTAATTTAGTCGGTGAATCCCAATATAAAGAATAAAGTCCCATTTCTTTCATTTCCCAAGCGAAGTACTTACATTTCTTGTAAATGCGTACAAAAAATGGAAAATGTTATTCCTTACGGTAATTTAGGACGAAATGCAATTAAAAGTTCTAGGATATATGTAAGTGAATCAGTCATTATGGTCAAAATACAACAATTTTATGAGTGCATACAAGGATAGGAAGCATATACCTATTCAGCAGTGTGTACATATCTTTGTAAAGATATACATAAATATACATGCATGTAAATACAAATACATACCTACATATGTACAAATTCAGATAAACACGCTGCTACATAACTACATATGTATGTGCATACTTTCCCTTCAGTAATTAATTTTGATGACTATTAATACACAAAATTATTTTAAATACATATACATTAAATGTTTGTACATAAGTGATTAAACGTTGTGAATATTTAGCATCATTACATCAAATATTACATACGTATAATCCTTTCTTTTGCATGTATATTTTGAACGCCTGAAGCATGTACAGAATACTTTCGTTTATATCACTTTGAGACTTGATTGAAATCCATATTGAAGAAAAAATAATTCAGACATGAATAATGCTAGTTTATTGGTTGTTGTATGTATGCATTGATGCGAATAATTAACTTATTATTCCTGATTGATGTCCGTAAAAAGTAAAAGTAGTCAATAAGTAAGTAAATTGCATAAGTTAGCACATAATTGAAATTTGCTAAATTTTACTCATGAAAGTAAGTACATACAATGCGTACGTATTTAAGTACTTTGAGAAAGTACAAATGAAGAACATAGATAAATGAGGTGCGTTTTTAAGGCTTGTTTATAACAAATTTGTCGCTCATAACTTTTTATTACTTTCTCCATACAAATCAAATCAACAGGTAGTCTGGCACGTATGTATTGACGTCTATAGAATAGCAACTCTGATCCTTCAGGTTTCTTTTCCAGTAGAGAAAGAGATTCAATATCGACATAAAATCCCTGCCATTTCACTCCATCAGTTTCGCACGTTATACAAAAGTGATAAGTTTCACTGACGGTCCATATATTTCCAGTATCTGCTTTTTACCCAGTTTTCGGAATACGTAGGTGAAATTATTTTCTATCGGAATAAATTGAATTCTCGATACAGTAAAAATCCTCATTTGAGGCCGAAACATGGCCTGAGAAGGAGGTTTTTCACTAGGCATCCATTACGACCACTGGAAGAAGAAGATCGTTGTACCAGATACACAAGTTTGTTTTCGCATAGATGTTCTGTGATAGTTTCTATGCGTCAGCACCTTGTTGTTCTAGTTCGACACGTCGTCATTACAGAATTTTCCGCGAAATATCATCCATTATACGGTTAAAAATCGGCAGGAATTTTAATTCCTAATCGTCACCGTTGAATTAAATATAAACGTTTCAATCTGCGCCATTACGTACCCGGAGATAGGATCCCACTGGAGGAAACTGACCAATCTGATTGCTATGTCATTCATACAATTTCGTCATTTGGCACAGAAGTTTGTAATATCTCTGTGTATCGACAACTTGTATCAATGACTTGTAATTTATCATCGGAAGAGGTCCAACTTCAGATTAAGAAGGAATGCATGGAAAATACGTACATCTACATACACTCCAAAAGGGATAAATGAACAAATTTCTTAGATGAATGAGTGCGATTAGGCAATAAACTATGTAACCCACTATGCATAAGCTGCCATATAGTGAAGGACATATTTCATCGATAAAAATGAGGTGAACATATATTGTTTGGGGGGGAGGGGGGGGGGAAGGTGATATGTTTTTGAGGAAAAAAAATTCAACTGTTGGGGACGATGTGGTTAAATGGAGAAGAGAAAATAGAAGATGGAGGATGCGAATAGGTTGAAAGATATTTAGGGAATTTTAAGATTCTGGACTAGTTTAATGGGGTTGAAAATTCGCCTTAGGAAAATTGAAGAGAAAATTTCATAACAAACGAAAAATCAGTCTTGTTAGATGCAAGGTTTCTATTCGTATCGATTTAATACAAAATGAATGTATGAAAATCACAATTCATCAATTTGTACTCCTTGGTTATTTTTATAAGATTTTAAATGAGCGGACTTAGGTATCAACGATTTATGTAAAGTGAAAGTCATTTAGTCATGAAAATGTCGCGAAAATCCTCAATGGTGTTTGAGCTAACGTATGTACATATTTATATACATAACTCGATTTATTGCGTTACTTTAATTTCCAATTACAACATATTTGAAACTTAATAATTAAATAAATAAAGATGTAAAATATATAGTTAAAAATTTCATCCATAAATCTATAGGCCATTTTTGAAACAATTTCATTTACGGTTTCCGGAATTACTATATGCGTACCGATTTTTATCGGATTAACGCGAGAAGCGATTGTTGTTATTATTGTTATTATTGTTTCCGCCACCCCCATTGTTGTTATTATTGTTGTTATTTCCGCCACCTCCATTGTTGTTATTGTTGTTATTATTATTTCCGCTGCGACCGCCCCCATTGTTGTTATTGTTGTTGTTATTGTTGCCCCCACGTCCACCCCCATTGTTGTTATTGTTGTTGTTATTGTTGCCCCCACGTCCACCCCCATTGTTGTTATTGTTGTTGTTATTGTTGCCCCCACGTCCACCCCCATTGTTGTTGTTATTGTTGTTGTTATTGTTGCCCCCACGTCCACCCCCATTGTTGATATTGTTGTTGTTATTGTTGCCCCCACGTCCACCCCCATTGTTGTTGTTATTGTTGTTGTTATTGTTGCCCCCACGTCCACCCCCATTGTTGTTATTGTTGTTGTTATTGTTGCCCCCACGTCCACCCCCATTGTTGTTGTTATTGTTGTTGTTATTGTTGCCCCCACGTCCACCCCCATTGTTGTTGTTATTGTTGTTATTATTTCCGCTGCGACCACCCCCATTGTTGTTATTGTTGTTGTTATTATTTCCCCCACGCCCTCCGCCATTGTTGTTATTGTTGTTATTATTATTGCCCCCACCATGAATTCTTCTCTCTTCGCGACCATGGGCGACGTCAGTGCTGTTCGATAAGGCGGGCGTCGTCGCCTTTTCATGCACTTTCCCCGTGGTAAGGGTCGATTCCGGTTTCTGGACAGACCTTGATGCAACAACAGTCAGCATCACGACTGCAGAAAGCTGAAATGTTAATTGAATAAATTTTATAATCTTAACCATAGTAAATTTATCACTTTTCTAAAAATGTGTGGCCTTACCGTTAAAAGAATAACCTTCATTTTAAAAATATATTTCTGAAATTTGGTAAACTGTGAAAGAGCTATTAATGCCGTTGGTTGGGATGGGATGGGATATGATTCGATTTTTGTATGAGTAGCACTGTATTCAGTTTTCAATTTATATGAAAATCTAAAATCCGGGTTTTATCAAAGTGCAAAATGAGTAGAAGGATGTACGAATTTCTATGTAATTTCTTGATACATAGAAATTACTTATACACATATTTAATCTCATTTCCAGGTAAATGTATTTACGGTGTGCAGCAGTGATTAGTGGATCAGGCTTTAATTGCTGTCTACCATTGTGCATGCTATGTACATGCACATATACAGATACATACATACTTCGATGGTTTTGCATGGTTTTGTACATAGATATGGAATCCCTGAAAAATGTCATACAGATACATATTTAGTGCATTTAGCTGTCTGTCCACTAATGAGGTTATATGAAAATTGTAAATATCTATAATTCAGTCGTATTTATGCTGTGGGAACAGTTTTGAAATGTCATGCAAGGAATGTATACGTATTTGATAACATTAACTTTCTTTTCTAAAAAATGGCACACATTCTATGCCATTCTTAATTTTTTTTACATAATCACATGGTAGAAAGTGTATCCAATTGTACCAACATGGCTTTCATATTTATGCATACATTTGTCTCATCTTCCTTTAAAGGTAATTAATTTCTACTAACAATGGAACCTTTTATCAAGCTACACCGGGATTGACTAACGAGTCATATCAAAAAATCAACCCAAAAATTAAGGATCACATGGCGCTTATCATTCCGTTGAATGGCCCCTGTGAACAAAAATATTAGCGGCAAAGTTCAATTTTTTATTAAATTTTCTCTCCCTTTTTCTCCACGAGGCGAAAACCCACGGCGCTCGTGTGAACTTTGACCTCTAAAATTTTTCTTCAAAAGGGCCATTCAACGGAAGGATATGCGTCACGTGACTCCTAATTTTTGGCTTGATTTTTTGACATAACTCGCTAGTCGATCCCGGTGTAGCTTGATAAAAGGTTCCATTGTAAGTTTTATTTCATAAGAATTCATTAAACATTGATTACATATATACGCATGTATGTATACACATATGTACATACACACGTATAGGTATGTGTATAACAAGCATATTGTGTCCATGTGTATACCTTTAAAGAGAGTTGAAGCATGGTTTTTGATCAACGAAACCCACATCGATTCTCACATTATTCATCCAAATCCGAATATACTTTCCCCCTCCGAAAACAAGCCTTGCTAATAAATACCTCCATTTCCTACCACCTGGACTTTCCTTCCAGTCATTTCCGTATTCTAAACCAAAAATAATTCTAAACTAGAGAATTAATTTCAATTTACTTAACTTAACAAAGGTTAATAACCAAGACTTGGTTGAGTCAAATATTGTCTACTCTCACAGTGTCACTTTCGGTATATCTCTATTTATAGCAAGTAATAAGTTATTCGATCCCAAATATTAAATTGGTATAAATACGATATAAGTACTTAAAATTGCATTTTTCAGGTTTATCTAACCTCTGAAAAAGGTGAAGCATCATGGATCAAGAAGCCTCTCCACTCTCCTTCGCTATGCAATTACCAGAGGTACATATGTATGTAAAAATGCATATATGTATTTATTTATTCTACATTTGCATTAACCTTACGTCTAATTAAGTCTAGAATTTGAGGCCTCTCTCAATTAAAAAAAACTGATATATGGAAATAAGCATACGAATATTCGTGAACTGTGCATGCAAATGTACACAATTATTTTACAATCAAGTTTTTTAATTGTCCTGACGTTTAGCCTTTTCTACTTAATAAATAACCTAATTTGACGGAGATTCTGATAAGCACGCTTTAGAAAAAGAGATTCCCTGTTTTAAAAGAAAAAATGTACTTACAAGATTAACAATCTTCGTACTTTTTTAATACGAGTTTATCCAGCTTGAGCATGAAAGCACTCATCATTAAGCATAAAATAATCGACAAGAACTCTACATACCTGAATTTTACAATTCTCCGTCAATACTAAGCCTAAAAATTTCTATATTTTTTCAGATTCTCCACAAAATCATGCAATTTCTCCCCCACTCGGACCTCATCTGTTGCACCTTTGTCAACACTCTATGGGAGCGAGAGGCCCGCATCCACCTCTTGGCCCGATACGACCTCGACCTCCACCCCGACTCCATGAACGCCTACATGACCACCATGTCACCCAGATCCAACTGCCACGAACGGGTCAATTACGGTGTCCAGAAACACGTCATGTTCTCCGTCTATCATCCCGACTCGGTCGAAATGCTGGAAAAATTCGTAACCTTAAACCCCTGCAAAGTCAAGCATTTAAAATTAGATTGGTATTTGGACGGGACCAAGACGTCAGAGAAAAAATATTTAGAAATTCTTGCCAAATTTACCAACCTAAGTTCCCTCCAGGTCCAACCGATCTCGATAAATCATAGAAACTCGGAAAAAATATGCCACACGGATAACTTTCCAAAACTGAGGAAATTTGGAATTGATGGTTTATTCGTGTCATCTCAAATTCATAACGAGGTCGAGAATCAAGTCGTAATTCGTGACTTTATGGCGAGAATGTTTCCACTATTTCCGAACTTGACAGCTCTCGAGTTAGCTTGGATAGGAAAAACTGGTCTTGAACATGTCTTGGTACAAGGAAATTTCCCGAAATTGAAGTCTTTATCGTTAGCAAATTGTGATCTTGATTGGGGTCCCGAAGCGCAAAAGAGATTCGAACCGTTTGGACCGCTGTGGAAGCCGTCGTTTTCTTTGAATAGGTTAGGATTTAATGTGTTTGTTAAATATTTGGATATTTATGGACTGATTTTGCTAGAGAAATTTGCATCCGAGTTGGAATATTTGCATATTTTTCGCATACCGGTGAGATTATGGGAGGGTGTGCCAGCTGAAATGCTAGGTGTGCCAGGTGGAGGAGGAGATGGAGGTGATGTGCGTATCCCGGTCCTTCCTAAGTTGAAAGTGTTAAAAATCTCGTACAATTTGGACGGTAAGTTGGATGACAATGAACGAATAGTTCCCTACTTCCGGTTTGAGGGTAAAAATAAAGTGGCGAAAACACGGGAGGTTCCATACAAAGAGCATTTTCCATTGTTGGAAAAGATTCTATTTTGTGAAGACTACCTTTCCAAAGGGTTCGGAGAGGAAGAAGCGTATCTGAAACGGTACGAGATGTTTGTTAAACTGTTATGCATTTCATTCTTATCGGACAGTACTGCACCGTGCAGTTCGGTGATACGGGTTGAGCTTCCGGCCCCACCGGAGGGGTTCAGAGTGAAAATTGTACAGGGCGGCGGTGAAATTTGGGTGGACGAGAAAAATTTGTATGATCGGATTGTCAGGGTTTTTCCAAATTTGGAATGTGACGTGTTGGACTTGTGGGAGTCGGTGAGGCTTAAAAAGAGGGTGATGTATGAGCCAAAATATGTAAGTGCACCTGTAAGTTGGACCAAATTGATGAAGTTACTTAAGCCGACGGGGGAAAAATGACGGGAATATATGTTAAAAGTCTGAAAAGCCAGTAGGGGTGGCGCTCAGAACTTTATTGTTTTATAGTTTCCAGTTTTTTTGTTAATTACAAATATCTGGCATTTCAACAATTATGGATGGATTTTCTTCATTGCTGTTGAAAAATGATCCGAATTAGTTGTATTTGCAGATTTTTTAAGTTCAAAAAATTGTATGTACAAACGGTAAAGGTCACAGGGTCAAGTCTAACATAATACATAATTTTATTACTTATACTAATTGTAAGTATATGGAGGTATTTTATTAACGATGTACATATTCATATGCAAATGTATGTATACCTGGTGAAAAAGTGACATTAATTAAACGTTCTTAATTATTAATCCATGATCTGGTTAGTTGTAGAATTAATATTGGTTTTATATTTACATAAATTATGCATGACTTGTTGTTACATTTGGTGTCAGATTAATGTATGTAAATGTACATATGCATGTATTTATTGCCGATCATGTAGTATTGTATTGGTACATCTTGATTTGAAATAAAACTTAAGTGTTTATTTATGAAGTGCAAACTGCATGTATCTATTTGCATGTCTATTTTATATGTAAAAATCGATCTCTAAGGATTTAGTTCTATGTTTCTACATGAATTTGAACACCATGTTGCAACGATCACCATGGTTACGACGAACCCGGTTTGAAAAAGTCGTGCTCAAATAGCGTTCAACCCGTTGACATGTCCTTTCTCTATACGGACATGTTAATAAGTATTCTATGTATACAATATGTAGTTTGAAATTTTGGGAGTTTTTCTTATTTGTCTTACCCTGCTCTCTTGAATTGTTTTTTTTATAAATTAGTAATTTATTTTTGGAGATAATTGCATACATAGATAAACCCGGTCGTAATAAATTACTCTACAGTACAGATATTATTGTTATTTCAAGTTTGTCTTTTCGACTGACATGTCTGCCATCCAGTATAAAGCTGTTTATGTATGTACCTACATATTTAAATATGAACTAGTGGATATACCTATGTATGTATATAGAGATATGCATAATCTTTGAATTAAATAAATTTATAATTGCTACATGTCCAATGAAAATAGAAAATGAATCCGTAATCAATGTGCGATTACCTAATTACGGATTCATTTTGTATAGGAGCTAGTGTTATCAAATATGTATAAGGTTGTACAAATACATGTAATGTGTGTAAGGGTTCATGCACAGAAATACATATACATAAAAGTATACCTAAATATGCAAATAGTCGGATTGAGTCCCCAATGACAATAGTATATGTATTTAATAGTTAATATTTCACCTTCTCACTAGCAAACAAACATGCACACATATTTTGTGCATATATAATAGTAGTGAATCGATTAAGCAATCAGTAAGACATTTCTATCAATCCGAAGACATTATGCTTTCACGCTTTGTTGGTATTATTCACACATTTAAATGCTTATTCTACCACCACGTCTACTTTTCAAGTTTACTCGAAAATTGTCAAACCGAAATGATATTTCATGAAACAATTACTCTCGCAAAATTGCAAATCTTCTTAATCTCTATACTAATCCACCCCACAATCATATTCAGGTCAGACAAGTACCAAATTTTTGTGATCTCAAAACCTACAACTTTTCGTAACCTTGTCATTCTACGATTAAAAATACTTTGTCTCATATTCTACGCTGCGTTCCTCCTAGTTCATGGAATATATTTATTAATTTGGCCATCTCGCTTGGATACCAGGACAAAAGCATCTCTTTCAATATTCTCAGTAATGATCCCCACCGCGACTTCTTTAATGATTTTGACACTTTACAATCCCGTTAAAGTGCAGGATATGGTCACATTGTTAAATTTGTTGCTGAAATTTGAGCAAAGTATGTCAAAAAGTACGTACTGTGAGCAACCAAAAAAGAAAATGGCTACAGCTATCATGTTGCTGAAAGGATTGCTATGCGTTACGAGTATCTGTATCACCATCTTCGTCCCGATATTCGCCGTAGCAATAAATGCTATGGAACCGGCTCGATTTCCGTTTCTGGGAAGTCTACTTCCCCCAATTAATCGTGACGTTCTGGGAAATTTTGTTGGACACTTGACCGTGATTCTGTTTCAGGGATGGCTTTACTACTTAATAGCGCCAACGTTCATGTTCGTGTTTTCAAACGTTTTCCTTGCATCGCTGTTCTGCCTGTACGTTTACGTGGTCAGCGTGATTAGGTATGTAAATATTTAAGTATTTATGACTTTTTGAAATTGAGATGAAATGCAACTAACAGCATTTCAATGCTTGATTTGTCTTCTAAATAACAGACATGTTCGTGATCACCACGATAAATTGGTGGTCTTTCAACAACTCAAAATTCTGGAAGTTCAAATTAACACGTGCTTCAGGAGGTGGTTTCTGCCAGTAATGCTGATTTCGTTATCTGTGACTAACATACTGAGCACATTTCTCTGCATCCTGAACAGTGTAAAGCTTTTCAGTACCTTAGAGCACAACTTTTTCCTCCTGGTGAGCTTGCAATCCTGGCTAATTATTTTATCTTTGGGGACCTTGGGTGGAATGGTTAACAAAAAGTCGGCGAAGCTGGTCGAGAAGTTGAGTTGTTGTCAGATTGGTACAGTTAAGGGAATGGCAGCTTTTCGTAAAAAAGTGATGAGCCTGAGTACAATTGAGATAAAGTTTGGGAGTAATTTTTTGGGGATTTTGACACCTCTGGTCTTAACATCTTTTTGTGTTAAATGGACTACCAGGTTGCTTTTTGTTCAGAATAAGTAATTCGGGCACAAATAAGGGTACATGTATTTGTATATATTTACCTGCAGGTACATATACACAATATAGATGTACATATATACATGCATATGTACGCATATTAAGATTAGGCATAAAACAATAATAATATTCTGCAAATAACATATGTATAAGCCCTGAAGATTATTCGTACTTATTAAACGCTGGTTAAAATTTAAAGTTTGCATATTTTCATCTTAAACAGTTTAAGCTTCGAAACTTACACACATTTGTGTACATGTGTATTTACTCGTATATGTAATATATAAATAAGATATCTAGATTTTATACTAGTATGGGTGTATTGTATCTGTATGATTATATGTAGATTAGTCTAACTCTCTGATGCTGAAATAAACTGGAATAATTCTACACACAATGAAATAACTTGCTTCGTGTTAACATTTATTATTTAATTTAATTTGTTTCACAGAAAGTGATGATATTGCTGCCAAACTTTTTCCCGAATTAGTCCAAATAGACATGACGAATTACATATACATATGTACATACGTACATATTTTTAATGTTAGCCGTCCAAAACCATTTCAGATGTCTCAATTAGCTCGGAAATAGGTCACCTTAGTTTTGAAACAAGTCTCCAGGTTGATCCAATTTTCGAATATTTTTGTGCCAATCTTGCCGGTCGAGCACCAACAATCTTCTGGTGGACATTCGGGATAGTCATCGGTCCCGACAGATTGAACTTCTTTGTCCTCAGCTTCATATTCTGGCAGCCAACAATCATGGTCACCAACGGCCGCCCATGTTTCAAAAGTGTAGGACGGCTGAAATATTTTTCATGAGAAATGAGCACCATCATGAATAAATTATAGTGTTTTTTTCTATTGCTACACAAGACTAAAATTTTCTGGTAGGTTATCTGGAACGCTTGCTACGGTTCGTTCAAAAAATTAGAGGCAAAAAATCTGAGATGTTATGTGGCAGAGTTTGCTTACATGGTGCAAAAAATAAGGACACTTAAGGACTTGTCTTTTCAGAAAAACATACTATATATCTCCTGAATATAAATATGTGTATTTCCTTACCGACTCAAAATAATCACCCATGTCCATGAATCCAGTATAATTCACATGATAATATTCTCCTGCAATTAGGGGACCTCCAAATTCGATGGGATCTTTGATCAAATCGAACCAAAGGTTGAGACACATAAACCACGAGCAAACCGTGTAGGAACCTTCCGTTATGAAGCGGGGAAAGGTAGATATTCCTCCTAAGTAAGGAATACAATTTGTTAATATGTCCAATTATTGAGCCCTCAAATAAATAAGTTACCGGCTTTGAATACAATTTGGTAATTGTAGTCTCGTTGATCATAAACTTCATAGCCGCACAAGTCATCAGTGACAGAGCTGCATCCGTTCAATGACATGGACACGATTTCTCCATGGGCACCTTCTTCAGGAAATATTACGCCAGGCGTTTCCGTGGCTAGAATATTGCGAATATAAAGACTTATCAGATTATGGGCTTGGGATGCGAATATTTAAAAAATACCAGTGTATAATTTCCATATTATTAACAATTTTCATTTAAAAAGTAATACTTTTTAGGATTATAACACAGAATTGATTACAGTCTCGATCCTTGACTACCCCTAATACTCAAATTACATATTTTTGACAGGATACAAGGTGTGCTTGCACACTGTTAGATATCTGGTAAAGTCGCGTAGGTATTGCTATCTCGGTATTAAAATTGGTACCGCTTGGTATTAAAATTATATCGGTGCGTAGAAATTTTCTACCGAAATGGTAAAAGTTTACACTACTTTGGTAGAGTCATATCTACATATATATGAATACCGCTTGGTATTATTTTAATACTGGATTTCTAAGAGTGTATAATTTATCTAGTACTAAAAAATATTTGTAAATATTTACATATTTTAAACAAACATTTCGACCAATAATTTATTTTATGCGAACTTACTATTACATGCGTACAGGGCATCTTTGGCTTTCTGGCTGCGTTCAGGAACTTTATAATTGGGCAGATGCTTCACTTCGTAGCTACTTCGTTTCGGCGCTATGCGAATATTCTTCGTTTCTCGGACATGCTTCTCATTCAGAGTTGCTGCTTGAGTTAGGGCAACACTTGCAATGAAAATGCAAACTGAAAATTGCAACAGAAAATTTCTGAGAGACATGATTGCTTTTTTATGTGTTTGGCAAACCCACTGCTTTCACATGTGCTTCTCGCGAGTTTAAGTAGTAAATGATGACCAATTACAGGTTGTGCTTGAACACGGTTATTTTTTCAGCCGTGCCACTCGAGTCCTAAGGTCCATCTGATACTAATTTTAGTGATGAAATTAAGTGGAGATGATTGTAAATACTAGTTTGATGATGGCATTGATTTCTTTATGCAAATGATTGACATTGATATAATACGGACCCACCTTTGAAAATAAATGGGGTGATTGGTTCTGTGCAGATTTGACAGGTTTACTTATTGCGTACTTGTGATGGTAATATTTAACTTGACAAGCATTATTTTGAGTTTGTGTGATGCAATAACTTAAATGGGTTTGATAAGAGGTTACGTTATTTCACGTACTTATTTTTGTATGGGGTTGTATCTATAATCGATAGCAGGTATTCCAATAAAATGTGAGATAATAATAACGATCCCATAATGACATATTCGGTTCATTATACCAAGTCTTTCAATTTCATTTGGGGTGAATGCCTACATCAAATCAGAATTTGGACCCAGAGAAGGCGACCAGTTGATCCATACACACGCAATGCATAAATCCACACAATTCATTAGTCAAACATTTGCAGGCAGCGAAGTAGGCACAGGTCACTAACACTTAAGGTGTGGCGACATTATAGTATCAACTTAACGGTCATTTATTTTAATTCCGATTGCACCATTTCTTTGTAACAACTCGTGATAAGATTTTATATTTTCACAAAAATGCATTCTTTTTGTGGCATTCGTGCATTTTTTGTGAAAGCTTGTGTTAGAATCAACTTGAGGAAAGAAAGGGGATGTAATAGATTGCAATCTGAAAACTTCGACAAGCTGCCAAGTCGAAGAACCATCTTTTATCAGATGAAGAAGTTAGTACACTTCAAAATCCACAAGCTGATAATTTTCAGGTCAAATTCGTGCTGAAAATCTGAGTTGCAATGGTTCAATTAGCCCACAACTGGATCACCAAACGATTTGTATGTTCAAACCTTTATCTCTTGGATCCTTTGTACAAAAACGTGTAAAAAAATAAGTCATCAATTTCCCGGTAACCCAATGTGCTTTGCGATCACTCCAAGCTTGTATTCATTTCCGTAATCGCTCCAGCTTGGAACGCAATTTTGATTTCGAACATTACTCGTTGTCCACCAGTTCAACCAGTCTGGTCACTGACTCGAGTTCGCCTGTAAGAAACCAAAGATTTGGGTCACCCTGACAACTCCAGTCCTCATCCATAGTTGGAATTAAGGTAGGTCATTTTTGAATATTACAAAACTACGAAGACAAATAAAGTTTAATACATTTGGGGCAGCTCGTACAATTTTAACAAGCGGAAGAACAAAGACTTTTCACTAATAAAAATTACCAATCATCCGATGGTGGGTTCGATATTATGCAAATCATGTTTCAGAATGAGCACGTTTACCGGGAAAAATATTGTTGCCAACAACAAATTACATACATACTGATATGTGCCAAAAACAACAACTTGCATATTTATTTTGACGGGTTAGCAAAGTATAATCTTGCATAAAATTCACATATTGAAATTTCATAATTTTATAAACAAGGTCCCTAAAAAGGGGAAATCTTAGTGAGGTAGTGCAATCATAATTAATAAATAAAATTAGATTGCAGAATTTTTGCTTCACCGCTCTTGGTTCCATTTTTAACTTGGAGCATTAATCGTTTAAGTATAACACTTGCCCCCTCAAAACGTCCGATGATTTTGTCTGAATAGAATATCCAAATTAATATATTGAATTGAAATTATAGATTTGCATCTTTTTTAAACAAATAAGTACGTACATAGTTCACAATTGTTCAGCCATTATATTTTGTATATCGCAAGTAATTTAACCCACTTCTCGTTCACTATATAGTAAAAATGCATTCCTACCTCAATTTTTTCAATAAAATTAAGAATTCATTCGTATGCGAAGCAAAATTTATAGTGAGGGTATTCATTATTTCTTCGTATCCTTAGTATTCTTCGTATCGTAAAATACTTACGACGCTTACGAGATTTTGTAAGCGTCGTAAGATTTTCTCATCGAAAATCACGTTACTACGCTTACGATTTTTACTAAACCTGACCCCTTGTTTTTTCTTCGTAAACTATTTTACGATACTACGGATACGAAGAAATAATGAATACCCTCAGTGTATCCTAAAAAAATGGAACCGAGAGCGGTGATGCAAAAATTCTGCAATCTAATGTTATTTATTAATTATGATTGCACTACCTCACTAAGATTTCCCCTTTTTAGGGACCTTGTTTATTTATAACTTTTAATTGTCCATGGGATTACTGCACTGCACTACTCCTTTTCATTAGTTTGATCCGGAATAATTTTATTAAATGCTGGGTATTTAAAACTGAATAAATCCGTTATTTCTTAACCGATTTACATCATTTTGGTCAACATGTCCGGCTAGATTACTAAACACCAAAAGACCTGATCTGAAGGTGCAACACCAACAACAATTTCACGCAGTTTACCAAATGTGTTACAGAAACAACGATTAAATAGTTGTGCTGTTTACAGTTTTGAATATTTAATTTGTTTTCAATTTATTAGTCTTGCGTCGCTGTCAATGACAATGATTTGTAGCACGCACGGAATTTCTGAACTTCAAATTGGATTAACTAAGCCAATTCTTAACGGATTTTGATATATTTATACTTAAAATTTTCGGGATAAGCTGCTCTACAATTCGTGGGTATCAAACTGTTGATAAAGTTTGCTAGTAACTAGCAATAATTACAAATGTGTTTCTAAGGCTACATTTTTGCCCATAATTCAGGTCAAAATCACCTAATCGCTTAGTCGGATCAGATCCCGTTTCTATATTATGTAACAATAATCGGTGCAAAATTTCATCAAAATCGGTTGAGAAATTACTGAGATATCGCAGATGGTCACTTTTTTAGGGTGGGTCAAATGCATACTTAGTAATTTTTTTCGTTGTTAGGTATTTGCCTCACTAAGAAAAAACTTAACAATTGTAATTATTTTATTTGTTGTGGTGTATTTTCATATATTTATACCTATATATTTACATAAATACGTTTTTCTGGTACTTCGTGTCTGTAACAAAATCATTGTGTTGGGTCAAATCTATTTGCCTATGCATGTACGCATTTTACAAAATTAAGCCTATATCTTTAAGGTATTAATATTTGCATGGTGCAGCGTAAATCTCATTGGTGATTATCATCAGGCCGTATTAATCGGAGCATCCCGATCCCCCTTGATTTCCTGAATGAACGCGTATACGCACCACATCATATAAAAATTGTATACAATGTCGACACTGGTTGCCACGAGTTCGACGGTATTCGCCACGCCCTTCGTAACATTTACGACAACTACGATAATTGTGATTGCCGTAATTATGGCGGTGACGATGAGCCAGATCGTACAATTTTTCTTGTCCCTCTGCAATATTTACATAATGTAGGAAATTGTGTCGTAAACGTATCAATATAAAAATATCATCTGAATGTTATATTACCTTCCTCGCTGCAAAATACAGCCTCAAAGCGAGCAGGAGAGATAAAACAGCAAACACAATGTTCACAGATAGTGTCACCACAGTCGCCGTTTCTCCTATTTACATAATTATTATACAAATGAATTGACATAAATTTGAGATAAAGGACATAGTTCAATTAGGAAATGACAACATTGTAAATACGCGGCCTTAATTCTATAAACTTTGAGATTTTTGCAAAATTTTACAAAAATGGGAGTAAAAATTGACTATGAAGTTTTCTGAACAATATGGCATCAAAATTTGTAAAGTGATTTTATGGAAACGTTATAAACTTCATAGTCTACTAAGGATGAGTTTCAAGCGAATTGTCAAAATATGTATGCAAAAATTTGTGTTGCAATGATAATGACATTTTTACCATTATCCGACTTATCTCCCCAACTAATACTGTCATTTGTAGCAGCGATCAGGGCAAAAATCCGGGTTCCTAAATTCATGAGGGCGAGAATCTGCGTAAAATTTGCGTACATATAACACGTAAATTTTCATGGATAAATTTTTAACTTTGTGGTTTGCTTACCGTCTCAATGACCGCTAGGATGATCACGCCCCTTTGAAGGGATCCGCAACAGCAGCACGGATTGCACGACATTTCTGCACAATTAAGTAAAAACGAATATTTTTTAAAAGGTGTGAAACTTGAATTGTGTCACGTCGTAATACTGACAAATAATACTGAGACAGCAAATTGATGAGTTATTTTTGCAGGATATGTTGGTCTACTTATCTGAGATGAGATAGCAGAGCGTGATTGAGTTGTCATGTCCTGGTCATATTTGTTCTGCAGGATGTCAATGTTGGTGCGATGACGAAGGTAAATTATGGTTGGACAAGATTGATATATTCAATTTAATACATTTTAGCAAGTACAGATGACAGATGTATGTATGTAAATACTCGTATGTTTGTGCAGAAAGCGTGCAAATTACATATTTGTCACATGCAAAGGGAAAGTGAAATTTTACAGGATGTACCGTGCAAAGTTATGAGTATATAAAGTGCATTTATGTAACAAAATTTCACATGTATCAATTCAAATTTTACCATCAATATTTGTATATATTTAGGTATGTAAATAGTTCGTTGTTCAAGTTTATTACACTAATTTGCATAACATAGATATATACTTACATAACCATTTGTCCAGCAAATGAAAAAAAAACAATCATGGAGGTTTGAGCAGTTGTCAAAGTTAAGATAAGTTACTTTAGTTCAGATTACATATTAAGTAAAATAAAAACATGACATCAGTTTTCTGACTTTCCATGCATAATTTTAAGAGAAGTATTATTTGTAGCTCACCTCATTTTGCATACATTCATATTTTGATGCATTAGCGAGATACAGAGTTTATTCAACATGGAAAGCCCGCATCGCTGAAAAAGTGAATCGTAAGATTTATGCGAATGAGGTGCCACGCAGCAATAATTCTACTGTACATATTAATGCCTTCCGAAACAATCAAATTCCAACCTTGTTTCAAAACACCCCAAAATTCCTCTAATCCAAACGATGCGAAACAAATGAACACCATGCAGCCAAATATGACAAAAACTGTGGAAAAATTTCCTTCCAATCCAAGCCTCTTAAAACTAGTGACCTCCTCAAGCATCGTAAAATTTCGGGTAAACTGCATCCTATGAAAGTACAATTGTCTTAATGCCAATTCACCTATAAAATTTGAAATCCCACTGTCATACAAGAAACGTAAGACGCCATAAATTTTGTAACTTCCCGCGGGGTCTTCAACTATCAAGGCTCGCGGGGAACTTAATATTTCTTCCTTACTTAGAGTAAAACGCAATTTAGGATAACTCCTCCTCAAGTATTCCACCTCGTGCATAATACTATCAGAATAATCGACCAATCCCGTGGGACCACATTTTGTAATTTCTTTCTCAATTTGGAACGCTTCCGGTTCCAAACTGGTGTCATTACTCCACTTCAAATTATACAGTGCGGATGCAAGTAACGAGGCCAAGGTTATGTCGTGTTCACTCAAAACTTTCTCATCCCTATTTTCCCATCCTTTTCTACAATGTATTAACAAGTCCCGCTGAAAATGGTTCGTCAGCAACATATCGTTTTTTCTATGGTCGCCTGATACCGTGTAAAATGTAAAGTTCTTGAAGGACTCGGGGGAAATATGGGATCTAAAACGTTGGACATAATTCTTATCCATAGTGACGAACCAATCCGCCCAAGTGTCCGGGTTACAGATAAGCCTGGTATAATTTGATAGACCCGCGGCGTTTGAACAATTAAGGGGAAACACGGCATCGGCAAAGTATTCATACCCATGGCGATGTAAGGGGGACGTGACGCCGTTGATGGCTTTTCCCATGTAACAATTTGACAAGATGACTGAAGACATGCCCCAAATGCAGAATATTAACTTCCAAGAGGACATTTTCTTCAAATATTTTGGGATATCGTAACAATCCTCGAGTAGAAACGAGACCAGGATGAAGGGAAAGGGAGGAACGGAGTAATTGTCCTCATTATTCATCATTATTGTCCCGAAATAGAGACCGTACAGCGTCACTGACCCAAACAGAAAGAAACACGCCAACACGGTCCACATCGAAGTTTGGAACGGATCTAAATAAAAACCGTAACTAAGTCGGGGGACAGAATAACAGGAAACGAATTTTTTCCCGGAAAAGGCTTGATGAACAAAATGCGCCAAAAATGAATTAAGACCTCTCACATTCCACAAGAGTATTTTCGTCGATTTTGTCGTAGTTCCCGCCCACCCAAAACTACCAAATTGTGACCAAACTTGGAGAGTTGCGTTGCACCGAGAAGAAGCAATGTTTAGTAAAACTTTTCTCCCAAATCCGTCCATTTGTGCGGAATATCGATGCCTCTCCAAGAGTCCCAAGTACCTTGATATGCTTAATTTTCCAGTTACAAGATCATTTTCATGGTTACGTAACTCTTCAAACTCCACCTTGTTCCCGTGATATTCAAAGTAGACTGATTTAGGGGGAAATTGCGACACCAGTTCTGACACTCGTCTTTGGCACGAGATAGTTTGTAGGGTAACTTCATGAAAATAATTTCCATACGAACAAGACTTGCAGAAGTGGTAGAATTTCTTTTCAGGGATGAAGTAGACGAAAAAGGGGCCAATCAAACCGCCGTCGTGGGTTAGTAGTGACGACGCGATGGTGCTCCAGGTGTAAGTTTGGCTCCTGGCGAGATCTGAGGTGAAGTACAAGAAGTAAAAATTGTGCTGGTGCCGCTGTTTTCCGTCAGTGGTGGGGTACATACAGAAGAATTGATCCTTCCGGAAAGCGCTGTTTCTTTGGATAAGACAACGCCCTGCGAGGGTCACCAGAGACGCGATTCGCTTTGAAGGGAAGGCATGGTTACCATTTCGGACGTTAATTATGGAATAGATGCAGGTCAAACTGGATGCTCGCATTTGTAAGAAATTTAATTCGAATCCGGAGCGATCGAGGAAACCGGGTGAAGTTTGGGATGATAGGCTTAACGGATTATGGATTTTAAGTGGCGTTGTCGGATTTTCAAGCTGATCCGACAGAATGTGAATGTGGCAATGGGTTAAGGAGGGGATTATGTCCCAAATCTGGTAATTTGGAAGGGGTGAAGCTAGACATTGGGAAAAGAGCGACAGGCATAAAATCAGAGTATAAATGATGTCTGTTGCAAACATGTTGATTTTGGTTGGTTTTCTTGGAGCAAGTAGCTTGTATTCACCGTTGGCTTACATATTTATGACTAATGTGAGTTGCCCAAATTTTTGACGGGGAAAAGAATAGCTTGTTTGTTTTCGCTTCCTTGTAATAATGGTTTTTTATGTAATAATTCATAACCAAAAATGTTATATAATCTAAATATTTTCAAGGAGTAACAGTGGTTACATATGCACAATCTACATTTCAAATAGCTAAGAAAACTAAAAAACAAAGAAATTATCTGTACATACATACATATTTATTTACATAAGTAAATGCATTTATATTTCAAATGTGCCCGCTCACTTTGCACAATTTGCTTGCATAACTAACTAACTAAACATATTTCGTACCTATTTACTCTCTTACATAATTTGTCAATTATGGGAAAAAATTACTTTGCATGCAGTTAAACTCCATTGCCCACATGCATTGTTCTTACATTAGGTAGTATCCTACAGAAGTATATGTACGGATATATGTACATATGTACATAAAGATCTATCTACATAGGTATACATATGTACAATGTTTAAGTGGATTTCGAAAAATTTGTTTACCTAATGTCCTTAGGCAATTGTAATTTGTAAGAAATGAAATTCCCTAAAGTGATTATTTATAAATGCACACTGCATTTTATAATATGTAGTGTATGGAATATATCTATTCTATGCATACATAAAAATATATACGATACATATGTACATATTACACATGTATAGGTAAATATGTGCATCTGCTTGTATTCGTATTTACATAAAAACAGCACATTAATTTACATAACCAAGTTTTTTTAGCAATTTTGTCATTGTTTTTAATCTAAGGATAAGTACTTTATCCCTTGACTCATAAGGTTAAACTTTTCGACTTGAGGGTAGTATGGTTTTTCGATATCTGTCATTTACATATAATCGGTAAAAATACAAACTCTGCGACACATGCCTATGTAAACATGTACATATACGCTACATTTCCAACAACAAATCAATCAGCATGTACATATTTACGTACATTAAAAAACGCATATTTTACTCATTCATGTGATTAAAATAGTTTAATGTTCAACAGTTGTTCAAAAATGTCATGACAATTAATAGAAATGGTAAAGGCTGCTATTGCTAAAAATTGTTATAAAATGTTTATTGTTGAAATACTCGATTTAGAATTTGAGCTTGAGTCATATCATATTACTGCATCAGAAAGAAATTACTAATGACACTGTGTAATACGCTATCAGACCGAATAGCTTAATGCGTGTGCCCTTATGAATGAAGAAATACGAGCCCACCCAAATCTTGAGCACTTTGAGACTCCTCAGCTGCCTTTTTCTGTAACTTATATAACCTCCTTGAAATTCTAAATCCTTTTTAAAATCAGTAGATTTTCTCATCACATCAGCCATTAAGGAAAATTCTATCTGAATAAACCCCAAAATTGCTCCAATTATCGTTACGTCAAGAAATACCAGTGCGAATGGTATCTTCCCGGCCATTTTTATCACCATAAATCCCAGCATGGCAGCTAACAAGACGAAAATCAATGCACCTACGGGTATAACGTATCGGATGAATTGGTTGATGACCTGAGTCAGGATCTGAAGTTCCCGATAAATCCTTATGCTGATAACATATTGGGAAATATTTAGAAAATTACCACGTTCCTGGTCAACTGAAACAGATCTATCCAACGTTCTAACAATTGATGCGATTATATTAACACCGCTAATTGCAAAGCCAAAGATAAGTATGCTTATATGCATTAAGGCCGAACAATAGAGCAAAATCCTGAAACATAGCTTCATTCCGCAAGAAATTATACTAACGTTACGAAACCAGAGATAGGTCGGATCCAATTTCGGATTTATAACCATCACAACGAAGCCTACTAATGGTGCCTTAACGATAAAGCTGATAAGTCCGTGGAAGAAAATGCCAGCAAGATTAGAAGATTCGTTCAATTGATCTGAAAAAAAGTATATATTTACATTTTGTAAGGATTACTTTCAAATATCTACAATTCAGACTCTGAATTTCAGAGTCTGAACATTGTTTCATGAATTATGCATATTGGACATACCTTT